GTTGGCATTTATTCCCATAGAGGTGAAAGATGGCAATAAAGAAACAGGGATTTGCAAAGTTGGCCAAATATTAGCCAGGTGAATTGCAGCCTCTACCTAGGTCCAAGCTTGCCCTGGTGGATTAGGATGAGGAATCTGTATCAGAAGTCACTACTTAGGTTCTTCAATTAGGCAAAAAAGAAATAGGAGGTGGTACAAACTTAAGAACATGAGAACCAAACCACAACACGGTCAGGGAATTAGGAAATACCCAGGAGACTAATGACCCTGCTGTAGATACTAAAATCTGTGGAACGCAGAGCCAGTAAAGAGGGCAAAACAAACAAACAACCAGCAAACAAACCCATAATATCTGGACCACAGCAGATTCAAATCAGCTTGTCTGGGAAACAAGGGGGAATTAGGAGCAGTCCCTAGAAATCTAACTGCTCATTCTGAGGATTTCTCAGAGACAACCCCAGCAGGAAACATAGATTCGGGCTTGGAAGGCCCTGCCTGAATCGCTTAAATCTCCTAAATTTGAATCTTCTCCACTAGTTTACCCAATAGGCAGCCAATCTACTTATTTTCTATACTGTGTGTACAAGAGGCATTTATTACATGTATTTCTGGACCACCTAGCTCACGGGTTGAATATCCCTTACCTAAAATGCTCAGGACAAAAGCTGTTGCAGGTTGCAGAGCATCATAGGTTAGGGGTGCTCAAACTATCTCTTGGTTTAATGATACAGAACAAGAAAATATCCTTTTGTGAAGCAGATGCTTGCGTGTCTGTGCGGACAAATAAGAGACAGGAGGGAATAGTGTACCTTTGTGAGATCCTTGAGAGGAGGTCACCCCCAGGAAGACGAAGAAAAGGAAGAGAGTGGAATCCACGGGTCCAAACAGTTTCAGGCATGGAAAGATGGAGCTGAAGGGAAAAACACCTTTCCTCCAAGCCTGACAACTTGAATTTAATTCCAACTTTCCGAGAGTTGTCCTCTAAACACATTGTGTGGGACTTAAACACTACGTGGGTGATCATGTGTGGGTACGCATGCCTCTGTGTGTATGTACAGCAACACACAGCAAATAATAGCAAAATTAATTTTTTAAAGTTTTAAGTTTTATTTATAGCATTTTATTATTGCAAAATAAAATGAATTTGAAATGTTAATTATAAGTGTTGTTTGCATTTGCTCTAATTTTTTAATGTATGAAAATGAAAGGAAGACGAGACCCTCCAGGGTAAAGAATAGTGGAAAAGATAGAATAGGGCCAGAGAAGGGCATTGAGTGTCCTTCTCTATCGCTCTCTGCCATTCCCTGAAGGTAGGGTCTCTCTTGGAACACATGCTCTCTCAGCTGAGGCGGAAGCCAGCAAGCCCCGGCAACCCTCCCATTTCCACCCATTGTGGATCTGGGTCCCCAGATTATTGATTTTGTAGCAAGTACTCCTACCTGTACAAACAGCTCTTCAGACCCCAAGATAAAGGTTCTAAAAACTACAAATAGAGGAAGAGGAATTCTTTTAATCTAGGAAAAGACCCAGAGACACTCCCAGGAATGGTACCATTGGAACTCCAAAGGATCAAGTCAGCAGATAAATCCCAGGCCTTTCATCATCACCTGAACTGCCCATCGGATACTTTAAACGTATTCACATCACCCAGCACACAAGTGTTTCTCTGAATTTGAAATTAAAGCTTTTATGCACAGAGAATTCATTTCACAATCAAATTCTGAATTGGTTTGCCAGGAAATGGACAGTCTGGTCTGTATGGTAGGGTTCATTTACATTTCTGAAACCCCAGCGAGGGCTCTGAAGAAGCAGACCACCTGGTGCTCACACACCTGCTATGTTTGACACGCAAAATCCCCTCCCATTTTGATAGAAAAGAGGGCTTTGTTTTATACTTCCGTTGAACAGTTACCATTAAATATTTCAGTATTTAGTGGTGAAGCTGACAACTTCTGAGGTTTGCAGTGTTGGCTAGAGGAAGAAAAACATTCCAAACGTGTATTGATTGCTTCCTTTCAGTAACTGAATGCTAGATAATGGAGGAGGCTCCATCACTGCAGGCAGAAGCCACCCTCTCATTAATCCCAGCTGCTTAATTAAATCATCCAAAGCTCCTAATTTCATTGTGTCCTTTCAGATACCTACATCCATTCATTGGGAAAGGAAGACTTTCAGATGCCTCAATGACACGTTGGTGGAGTTACTTCTTAAGAAACAGTCTCCATAGCAAAGTGATTATTGGAGGCGAGTTAGTGACAGGTTCCCTCCCCCTAATTTTTAAGGTTATCATGTATTAAGATCTGGATTTCTGCAAGCCTCATCATCCAGCCAGTGAAAAACTACCAGAATTTAAGAAAATACAATTCCCACCCCTTCCTGGAACAGAATAACACAGAGAAGCAAGGGAAGGTGGGACATGACCTATTTCAAAGCAATACAATGAAGCCATCTGTGAGCGACCATAGCAGAGGTATCAGAGCCTAGAGGTCATTCAAGACGTGCTTTCATGGCTAAGGATGTAGCTCAGTAGAGCGCTTGCTTGCTTTGTATGCAGAAGATTCTGGGTTCGATGCCAGCACCACATACATACACACACACACACACACACACACACACACACACACACACACACACACACACAATTAATTAATAATTCTGATATCTGGGGCTGAAGAGATGGCCCAGCACCCATGTCAGGTGGGTGACAGTGGTCTGTAACTTCAGTTCCAGGGGATCCAATGTCCTCTTCTAGATTCCACAAGCATATGCATTGTATAGATACATACACGCAGGCACAATACTCAAACATACAAAAAATAAAGTGAACTTCTTTTTAAGACATGCTTTCAGTGAATTTGTTGTTATATTAAGGAATCAGAAATTCTTGATTTCGGGGAAGGCCAGATAGAAAATGGAATAAAGCAAGGGGAGATATTTGGGCGTTTACATGGGAGAACTAGTTCAAAAGCAAGCGCCGTATCTCTTTCTGTAATTAAGATTCTTTTTTGCGCACCCCCCCGCCCCGCTTCCAAAAGAGATAAGAGAAGTTCTTGACCATGGCCAAAGTGGCTTCTAAAAAACTGCTTTGAAAAGGGGAGAAATCTTAGAAAGTCACATCACCTATTATCACTACCAGTGGCTGCTCTAATTTTACCTTGGATGAAAGGGCAGATCTTGCACACACTTAGTCTTTTCAAAATTGTCTCAGGAGGCCCACTTGTTCTGTCTCGAGACACACATAATTGAGTCCTCATACCCCTAGGCTTCTCAGCTTTCCGTTGGTGTAAATTCCTGCAGACGCTTTCCCTTCTGATTCGGTTTGGCCTGAATCTCCCCCATACCCAGGTCTCACCTCCTACCATCCTGCCCATCCCTGTACTGATTCTAATCTCGCCAAGCAGCCTCTTTGCCTAATTTCCTAAGGCATCCCTTACTTGTGGCATGTGGCATATGACATACTTTATGGAAGGTCTGAAGCACAGTGAAGATTATATCATAGCACCCTGCACGCTCCGGTAATATAAAATGTAATAACCTATTTTATGCTGCTTAGTTAAGTGAAAAATGGAATGAATTTGTATGCACACCCTGATGGTGTTAACATTACCCATGAGAAGTTTTTTTTTTAAGATAGAAATATGCAAAAGTGTGACAAGCAGTTAAGGTATTAAAATCACTATTAATTTTTTCCCCTCCTTAAAATGTTCTGCCTCTTCTTTGAGGTGCTTGCTCCAGAGGCTTCATGGCCTTTCTTCTGCTTCATTCTTTGAGCTCCCTTTTTCTATGGATATGGGAATGTTGTCTTTGCCTAGCTAGGGGAGTAGTCTGGAGTCTATGGCTTTGTACTTAGGCACCTGCTAAGCAGAGCTGTGCCCTGTGGCTCATCAGAGGTGACCTCCAGCTCTGCGGAGCTCCATGCTTCATATGCATTCAGTGACAATAAACGTTGAGAATGGATGACTACCTGGAACTTACTTCTTTTCCTTTATAGAAATGGACTTTGGCATGATACCAATGAAGGCCATTATACAAAGCAGGCCTATCCAACTCGATGGCAGCCTGTATGGAGAAACTGAATCATCAGAGTTCCAAACACCCTTTTTATGAGTAGCTAAGAAAACTCAATTCCGTTCTGTGTATGAAGGAGAATGGAGGTGTTTCTGAGAACCTTCATTTTTCTTTCAAACAGGTAGCCAGACAAATGAGATTCTTCTCCTTTTAGTTCTGGTCACTAGGACACTCAGAATTGTTACAGCACAGGAATGGATTTTCTATAGCTAACTTGGCCTTATTGCTTTCACTTTTTCTCTTTAGTCCACATTTATGCTGCTTTGAGAGAGAGAGAGAGAGAGAGAGAGAGAGAGAGAGTCTTATACAATCTAAGCTAGCCTTGAACCCATTATTTTAGCCCAGGCTGGCATTGAACTCTTGATCTTCCTGCTTCAGTCTCCCAAGTCCTGGGACTATAGATGTCTACCAACACACCCAGCTATATTGTATTCTTCAAAAAAAAAATAAGAAAACACCTTAAAGTCTTTAGGAAATAAGCTGAGTGTCCATGCTGGGTTTTATTATTGACTTTATACAACCTAGAGTCACTGAGGAAGAGAGGACCTCAACTGCAGAACTTTCTCAATCAGATTGGCCTGCGGCCATGTTGGTGAGGAATTGTCTAGATTGATGATTCACGTGGCAGGCCCCAGGCCACTGTGGGCAGCACCATTCCTAGGACGGTGAACTTAGCCTATGTAAGAATGCCAGGAGAACAATCCAGAAAGCACCATTCTTTCACGGTTCTCATCTCCAGGTTCCTGTCTTGAGCTCCTGGCCTGCTTTCTTCCCTCAGGGATGGATTACGACCTGAAGTGTAAGCCAAGTCAACCCTTTCCTTTCTGAGCTGCTTTTGGTCAGTGGTTTATCAGAGCGACAGAATGAAACCAGGGCAGTTGTCCTAAGAGAAGTGGTTGCAATTACGAAGAGAAAGAAAAATGGAAAAGTACCTGTGGAATGATGGCCTCCTGTGACCAGAACTTCCCCTCATTCCTCAGAAAGGGCACAGCCTGCATCTTCTTTAGCAGGGAACACTGATAAAAGAAAAGAATGCTTGTCATACCCGCAGAGTTTTCTCCAAGAGTCCTGGGCCACTTTCCATGGTAAGCCCGATCTCTTTTCTAAGTTCTGAGCTGGCAAAATGCTTTCACCGAGCATACTCAAAGAGTTTTCCTCTATGCTTTGTCCAGGAGAATGGATGTGTAGAAGACTGTCTGGTCACTCATTTTGTATCAGCACAAGCACACATTTTTATTCATTCATTTTTTTTTTCCGGAAAAGAATACCTTAGGTGAGTCATAAGAATTCCTCTTCTAAGTGCCTTCCTCAGCACAGTGATAGATTCCAGGTCTGCTGAGCTGGAGGGAACCAAGCATTAAATAGCAACCCAGAGCTCCATGAAGGCTTTGTGGACAGCTTCCATCCCGTAAAGCATTGGTTCTCAACCTGTATGTCATGACCCCTTTGGGGAGGACTGAAGGACCCTTTCACAGGGGTTGCCCTAAGACCTTCAGAAAACACAGAATTTACATTACAGTTCATAACATTAGCAAAATTACAGTTATGAAGTAGCAAAGAAAATAATTTTATGGTTGGGGGGGTCACCACAACATGAAGAACTGCATTAAAGGGTCACAGTGTTAGGAAGGCCAAGAACCACTGCCGTAAAGGTTACTGCATGGTGCAGTGACTCAGAGGTTCTGTTGGAACTCAGGATGAAGTATTAAGAGCGAACCCTATTAAAGTCAGGAGTGGCGGCACGTCTGTGACCCTGGCTCTCAGGAGACTGAGGTTGGGGGCGCTGGACTGAGGCCTGTCTCAGATGTGCAGGGAGAGGCCACCCCCAAACAAGAGCAATTGCTGCAACAGTGGACATGACTAAGCATGATGAATAAGACGTATGTTTATTTTCAGGCTCCAAACATTCCGTACAATATGATCTGGAGTTACCTTGTTTTTTCTTCGCTAAAGTACTGTTTTTCAGTACTTTATATATATTCCACCCCTTTGTGCTGGAAGGGAGCCACAACTTGTGACAGAGTTAGTCTGTGTAGCCTCTGTTTTGATTGACTTCCCTCAGAAGAACAGGCTTCCTGAGCGAAGGTGTAGTGCATGTTGCCATCCCAGTACTTGGGAGGTAGAAACAGGAGGGTCAGGAGTTCAAGGCTAGCCTTGGCTATCTTAGTCTCTGTTCAAACAAACAGTAAAATACATCAGCAAGCTTCCAAAGATGACTACATTAACATAAGTAATAGCAATTAAATGGAGCAGGTTCTTAGCATGTGTCTGAGACTATAAAAAGTTCTTTATTAAATGACTTGGGCCATGAAGCTGCAGTGATCTGCATGTTTGTATCCCTCCAAAGCCTCAAGGGCAAGCTCTGAGCTCCGGGCAGATTCTTCTGTTGTTTTGTAACAAGACAAGCCCTAGCATTGCTCACCGGAAGCACAGACGACTCTGGTTCTGGGACAGACACCTTCAGGTAGACTTATGGTCCACATCACGATTCCACCATGAAGATTGCTGCGACCTGCCTTTGCAAATGGGGATTGAGATCTTGGTCCCTTTCTCCCAAGGAGAACTGCTAGATTCCTTGTGCAAATTTACTTACTTTTTATTTTACAACCTTTTCTAGGATTCAGAAATCAGAATATCAACACATAGTCACAGCAAAAAACCTCACCAGATGTAGAGACAGGAATCATCGCTCCCGGTTAAACTAAAGTGAGGCCCAGAAGGAGTTAAGGACCTTTTGAAAGGGTGTGGAGCTCATAAATGACAAAGCGTGGATTAAAAACCCCAGCTTTAGAGTCCAGATGGCAGCTCAGGTCATACCACACCAAGGTGCTGAAAACAAGCCCCTTCTACAACAAACAACACTTTGGCAATTTATTCTTTCCCTCCAAATAACTAGACTCACCCTCTGGACAAACAGATACTAATACTTAGAATGCAGAAAACATATTGTAATCAATATGGGCTCCAAATTTTTATAATACACACTCACAAACTCACAAAGACACACAAGCTCTTGTTTCTAGCTCAATTATTAATGGTCCTTGTCCAAGTGATGTGAATTTGTATGTAGATGATACAAACTTCAATAATGAATCATTAAACACCATGGACTTATTATGTCCTTAATTCCAGAACTTCAAGGTCTTGCAAAGCTGGGAAGGGCTTCTTTTCTCCAAGAGCGCAATTACCAGGATTTTTCTCACTGTGGTAGGAGAGCAAAGGTCCCATTAGCGCTAGAAATTCACATTACAGGGCAGGGGGGATGGCTCGATGGGTAATGTGCCTGTTCTGTAAGCATGAGCACCAGAGTTTGGACACCAGCACTCTCATAAAAAACTGTTCATGGTCATGTGCCTCTGTATTAGTGGGGCCGAGGAGACAGAGGCAGACCCCTGTTACTCCCTGACCAGCTGGTCTAACCAGTGAATGTCAAGTTCCATGAGAGACTTAGTCTCAAATACAAGCATGTAGGTGTATATAGATATAGATACATAGATAGAGAACAATAATAATTACAAAAGAGACCATAAACTTGAGAGAATTGGGGGAGACATGGAAGGAACTGGAGGGATGAGAGGGAAGGGTAGAAGTGATGTAAATACAGGTCTTATATACAAAATTCTCAAAGCAATTAAAAATGTAAATTAAAAGCATGGAGAACAATCTAGAACTTAAATCAATAAACAAACAACTAAACAACACGGAGGTTTCTGCTTCCTGACAGTCAGATTGGCTTCCTGCCCCTGCCGCTGTGTCTTCCTCAACAGGATAGACTGTGTCCCCTCTGGAACTATAAGGCCAAGTAAACGCTTTCTCCCCTAAAAGAATATTAAGATGGGGAGTTACAGAGGCGGTCATCTGGTGTCAACTTCTGGCCTGCACATACATGTACACACATGGGCATCTGCATATAAACGTGCACATACATACACACAAAAGAAATTCCTATTGCTCTGACAAGGCCATGCTTCCTTCTCCTTCGGATGACACTGGACACCGAAGCACTCTGCTCAAGGACCATCTCAGAATCTTTGGAGAACATTCCACATTCAGGCAGGATGGCTCTCTCGAGCATTTCTCAGGCTTAGTTCAGATACAACTGCTCTGAGGGCAAATGCAGATCTCAAAAAGAATGGCAGTGGCTTCTGGAACAGAGAAAATCAGTGCTTGCCACCTCTACTGGGGTGTCTCCAGGAAGAAAGCATAGGACAGAAACGGAACCTCCAATCTCACCCATCAGAGTATAAACATAAGATTGGTGCCTGATCCACATGGTCTCCAGCAATGAACACACACAGGATCCCTTTCAGTAATTATAGCATACAATGAAATGTTAGCGTTAATTTCTTTCCAGGAAACAACATTTGTTAAAGATAGACGTGGCTGTACAGAGTCCAAGACTGTGCTGCTGTTGTGCCGGGAAACTGGAACCACACATGCTTTCAACATGCTGGGTATGAGTCTAGGTCCTTGGAGGGATTAGGCGGCTAAAGAAAGCACAGTAAGTACCCTCATTTGTCATTAAAGGACCTTTAAAGTACATGTTGGGAACCTCCTAGGGAGGGCCCTGAATATTAGGGGAATATCAACACAGTCAGAGAAAAGATTAAAAATAGAGTGCTGCTTTGTGATCCCAACTTTACCAAATACGAGGACATGTCTGCAATGGCAACAATGTCACAAACCCTTCCCACATGATACTAGGCATCAAGAGCAAAGGTAAGTATGAGAAGATATGCGATTGTATCATGAGATTCTGTGTGGGAAGAGGGCACAGGAACTCATCGTGATGGGTGGGAGGAGGCTCCAGGGGCCAATACAAAAGTATTTACTAAGCCTTTGGAAGGAGAGGCATCACCATTTCTCAGCAAGAATAATTAATGTGTACAGCAACAACAGGTGAGAAGATAAACTTGACAGTGCAATTCTAAATACACGGCCGGTAACACCACTTTCTTATCCAGTCCAAATAAATACAGTACCCCCACAGTAGCCTCACAGAGGTTTTCTTTTCTTTTAATTGTTAGTATTTGGGGAGAAAAACAGAGTCTTCCCCAAATCCAGATAACAACAAGAAAACCATTGCCAACCAGCTGCTCAGTATACACAGGGTCAAGTCTAAATACAGGACAAGTATTTATAGCTGAGGGAGATTTACCTGAGTGGTACTGTTTCCTACCCAAGACACCTTGGTAATTAAGAAACAAAGAATCTGGTGGTTATCCAGAGCCTTGGGGAGTTAGGGGCCAATGGAAGATGTTGGTCAAAGGGTACGGATGGAAGGAAAACATTCTACCATCCATTGCACAGCCAATTGGGCAGAAACCAAAATAATATATTTTATATTTCGCAACTGGAATCAGACATTTCAAATGTCCTACCATAAAAAGTGATAGGCAAATGAAGTGAGAGGTCAATTACCTTGATTTGACCATGCAACATTTATATTAAAAGATCATGTTATAGCCCATAAAGGTGGGCTATCACGATTTGTTCATTAAATACAATATTAATGTAATTTAAGATTGAATTTTATTTAAAAAATAACAAAAGAAAAAAGTGAAAGAAAAGTAAGACACTAATGGAATAATAACTCTGTCTGACAGACAGACTATCAGACTCATTTGTAAAAACTAAACGCCAGGCAGCTCAGGTCAGAGGCAAAGGAAACTGGAATAGAATTTGACCTGATAAATAGTTCCTGTTTTCACTGTCAATTTCCAAATAACCCTTGCTGCAACAGTTCCGATAATTTTTCCAATGAATGTCTCCTGAAATCAACTAGACTTGAGGAAATGTTATTAGATCCATAAGGAACAGCTCCATTTTTCTTCATATCCTAGGAACTTCCTTCCGTGGCCAGAACTCCTAAGGTATTTTCAGACAGGCAGGCAGAAGAGAAAAAAAGGGTTTGGAGGTGGATGGGAATCAAGAGAGGAAAAACATAGGCAACTTGACTAAGATGTGACTGACATTTTCTTGCAACACAAGGGAAAAAAAGAAGTTATAGTGACTGAAAACTAGAACTCTCACTTACACTGTCCACTTCAAGTTGTTAACAGGGTTTTAGCAACTGTGCTTTACTGAGAGATGGCAAGAGGACACCAGATAGTATCTTTTCTCTCCTCCTTGGGTTGTGCTCTGAAACTCCAGACTTGATCCCAGGGGATCCTGCTGGGTGCTATGCTACTTGCTATCTCATTTTGTTCTCACTTTATTTTTGCCTTGTTCAAAACAAAGATGTCTGATAAATAACTCGAAGTACTAAGACTGATCATTGGGGAGAAATAAGCAAAAAGTGATAAAACATCACAGTTTGCCTTTTTAAAGTATGAGTTTACCAAGAAACCTCACTTAGACTTCTTCCAGTCACCCATGAGTAATAATGAGTGCTCGCCTATAAGAAGGGCTAAGATTGAATCCTTGGAAGACATTTTGCATAAACTCAAAATGGGCACTAATCTGTGTTTGAGCTCCCCAAGCTCCTGAATGAAAGGGGATTCTTTTCCTGAGAGTTGGTCCACAGGTCCTTCCAGGGAGTAATGATGTCATGTTTGTGGAGTACTTTGAACCCACACAGAAGAAAGACAACACACAAGTTGAAGGCATTCTTCTCCCGCTATGTAAGACATAGCTATCATATTTCTGTTCTGCATGTAGAAAAAATTTGTCCCTCTTTCGAAGCCAGCTCTATAGAGTCAGTACACAAAGAGAGAGAGAGAGAGATCCTCTATGACCTCCTAGATTATTGAGTGCTTCAAATAGTCTCTCCTCCTTTTCCTCTTCCTCCCTTCTCTCTACTCCCATCTCTCTGCTCTGTCCTTCCCTCCATCTCCTTATTTATGCTTTTTGTTTGTTTGTTTGCAGGTCTTGGCAGGGGGGGGGGGGGGGCGGGGGGGGGGCGGGGAGAAAAACAAAAAAAACCAAGCAATAGTCTACCCCCCCTCATAGCCACTCTTTGAAAGGGGCTGTTCTGGAATTCACCAAAAGAACCTGATTGAAGTGATATCTCCCAATACTTTCATTCGATATTTCACAAAAATGTATTTTAACCCTAAGTTCTGCCCTCAGGGTACATATTTCTTAAAGAGATAGCAAAGGAGCATGTTTTGATTGCAAGGGAATATTCTGATGATGTTAGGACAATATGGTTGAAAGTATGAAAAGTAAGTGTAAGAAGCAAGAGACTAAACCTGAAATTGCTATGTAGCCCAGGCTTGCCTAGAACTCATGAACCTGCTTCTGCCTCCCAAGGGCTGGCATTATAAGGGTGAGCCACCACACCTAGGTTCTCTATATGATTTAGTAAAATAACCACATTGTTATGATGTCTGCTGAATTCATTATTCCTTTATGCTCTGAATCATAATTTATTTTCTATAGAAACTCATTTAAAAGATCTTATAAACCTCCAATGGAAGATCCAGCTCTTGCTAAAAGAGCTTCCCTAGTTGTAATGAAATCCACCCCCAGCTCTTTGATCCATCTGTCTATTTGTTCCAGACTTCTGACTCTAAGAATCCTTAAGTGGTCTTTCCTTTCTCAGATGGCAAACTCTGTCATGCCTCATAATTGAGTGGGCACTCGATAAATGAATGCTATAGTGCTCTGCAAAATAATACACTTCCTATTGGCAGCAAATCCAAGAGAAACTTCCTTAGAAGAAAGGACTGTCAGTTACCACTTAACAAGCCTGAGTTGGCTCCCATAGAAAGAGCAAACAGAACAATAGCAACTTTGCTCCCCTACAGCAGCCACATGGCTATCTGGTTGCTGCCTCCAGTCACCTGGCACGCTGCTGGTCCCACAGAAGGAGCTCAACAAGTCCTTGTTGTTAGATTGATTCAGAAAGGCATGCGGCTGGTGATATGTAATCCATCACCTGATAGGTGGACGCCAGCTGGGTTTCTCACAGCCTGGCTGTGCCCAGCTTTTGACCTCCTGTGGTCTTTGGCTCCTTTACAGCTGACAAATTTAGCTGAGTGTGAGATGCCAGGCCAAGAGCAGGATGCCCAGAGCAAGGACTGGAGGGCTGTTCGGCAACACTGGTGGAAGATTTGCTTTTGAAAGACCCTCATCCTCTCTCTGGATGGTGTCACCTTCAAACTTTATCCCAAGATGTCCTCTACAACACTCCAGGCCAGAGCTTTGGACTAGACAGGAGTGATTCAGAATTAGAACACACAGCAGACTTAGCAGGGAAGCCTGAAGCTGTCAATGGGCAAATCCCACTTACAGTTACTGCTATTCTTAAGAAGAGCACCAGTGCCGACATTCTCATAAACCAACCCAAAGGGCTAATGTGCAGTGTAGACAAAACCCACTGCCTTACCTTTTTGCAAGGTCTGACTTCCCTTTGCCGCCCTTTTCACACCATCACAGCAACAAACATCACTATTATTGCCCACTGGAACTTCTTATTGATAATGTTGTTTGCTGGTCACTGTTAAGAGTACTTGTTTGAATGCAATTGATCATTGTAAGAAGTGGGTATACTTCCTAACCCACTTCCCAGTTGGGGAAAAAAACTGATACAAAAAGAGAGTTTAAATAATTGGGCTAAGTTCTTACAACTAGTAAGCATCAGAGTCAGGCTTTGAACCCCCAAAAGCCTGCCTCTATCCTCCACTCTCATAACCACTGACTTACACTGCCTCTCCCTATTCATTCAGTGGCAAAGACTTTCAGGTACCTAGTAGGTGCTGATCACACTTTTAAATATGCATATTAGCTCTCATCAACTCTTGATCATAAATCTTTAATGGTGTACTAGAAGCTTTGAATAAACACTCAGAGAAGACAACAATATCTTCCCCAATCCATCTAATTTCTCTGATATCTCCTTTTGCCTTAAGTTAACCTATTTTCCAATAATTCCAAACTACCTGCTGTTTGTAAATTGAAGCAGTTTCAAAATCTGAACCTCTCCTTTCATCCCTTTCAAGATAAGCTGCTTGTGTTCAGTATTTGTACTCCAGTAAATACACTTCTAAAACAATAAAGATATTTGGACAGCACCATCCCAAAGTTCCAGCTTGGGAGGAAGCACATTTGTTCTTCAAAGAGTACCAGCTGTGATATCACATAAACTACACACATAACCAACTAAGAAAACATTAGATATATCATTTCTGCCCACATACAAATCTCATAAAAGTTCAAAAATGGAACTATCACGATGAGACTGTAGACATTTCAGTTCATCTCCAAATCTCTTCCTTCATATTGTCACAACGGCAAGAGTAGTTCTGACCTGAGCCCATCTAGCCCATTAGTTAGAAGTAAACATCTTTCTAACTAAGAGAAAGCCTGGAGCTAAGTTCTTGAGCCTCTCCACAACTCAAGCAGCTTGGGGAATGTAGTTAAGGTTTCAGCCTTAAATGATGCACCTGGGGAATGCCACAGGCTAACTGGTTGAGGCCCTGAACCAATTGTGTACTTGGAGGAGGAAGTTCCACAGGTGGGTTCAGAAGTGATTCTCAAATCACATTCCTTGACTAACAGCATCAGTATTCCTGGGAAACACGTTCAAAACTCCAAATCTTCAATCTCCAAACCCGTTCAATCACGAACTCTGAGGGTGGAGCCAGGCACCCTATTGAGACTGGCCTTTCAAGTGACTCTGATAGAAGTCACATAAAAATATGAAACACATTAGTTTAAACCATCAGGCCCTGCCCATGCAGCCTACAGAGAAGGGGAATCCTGTGGGTTTCACTAGCCTCTCACACAATTAAAAGGGGACAGAAGGGAGGCCTGGATGTAAGCATCTCAATACATCAGAGAGGGTCAGCTCTTTTCTGACTTGCTGAGACCTCAGCAATCAGCAGTACAAATTAGCCAACTGTTTGGAAGATGATTTCTGAGACCTGTATGTGTTCATCTAAGGGCTTTGAAGAGAGGAAGATGCCAGAAGAGCATGGACTTTGGTGTTTTCTGTGGGCCCTGCCCTGATGGAAGCCTCAGAGAAACTGGACGAATAAATTTACATAATTTTCACAGAAAAAAAACTGCTTCTCAAATAAAACCACATTGGAGTCATTCTCTAAAAACAGCTTCTTTCATACATTTTTATATTTTAAAGAATTGATTTTGGGAGAATTTTATAGATGTATACATTGAAATATGATCATCTCTGCCTCCCAAATCACAGGAATAGGATTACGCATACAGATTTTTGAGGTGCGATTAAAGCAGGATGTCTGAGGAAGAGGCCTGGGAGTCTGCCTGAGAATAACCGTTCTTCCTCCTGTTCTTTAGTACACTCCATCACCCAGCATCTCGAGGTTTCCCTCCGCTGATGTTATTCTGCCCCATCTCACACCACTGTAGAATCATCTTTCGAAAAGAAACTGGATGCCAAGCCCCTGATCACATCTACCTCAAGGCCTCCTTGGGCTTCATAGTAAACTCCAAAGCCTGAGGTGACTCACCACGCCCTGCTAAACCAGCCCCTGCCTCTTTCTTCAGCCCTGCTTCCCACTACTAGGCCCTGGGGCCCCAACCTTAAGCCATTCTGAATTCTGTCCGCTACCTTTTACTGCTCTTGTGCCTTGGTTTCCTCGGCTCTCTAAGCCCTTCCTTACCTCTCCAGTGTGGCTGTCAAGTTAATTCCAGGTTACATTGTGTACAAACTCTCCATAAGTTAAGTCAACATAGATTGTTTCCTCACTCAATGCCAGTGGTTAGCAAGCCTTTTCTCTAACAGGACAAATGAGAAATAGTTTAAGCTTTGTGAGTAACATGGCCTATGATATGTGAGTCTATATCTCCAAGGCTTTAAAATGTATTGAAAATCCTTCTCATTCATAGACGTCGTCAAAGATGTGATACTCATGCAGTTGATCAGAAACCTGGGCAAATGGCACAGCCACCTCTGGAATGCCTCCTGTTGCCAGGAAGACAGAAAGAAAGAACCTCACACAGGCAACTAAATGGGCCAGTCTGGAAGTGATGCCCCGTAACTTCTGTCCATTAATTTAGTCAAAGTTAGTCTCTTAACCCAACCAACAATAAAAAGGTGGAGGCAGGATGTGACTTACTGGGTGAAAATGCTGAATATGTCACCTCAAGGGCAAGCACCTGAGGAAGCCTTTTCTTATAGCCTCATCCTGCAACCAACTCAGCTAGTTTTTTCCTATAATCCCATTCATACATTCACTCACTCATTCATTCATTCTTGCGATGCTTCAGATGGAATGTACAACTTTGTGCGTGCTAGGCAGGCAATCCACCACTGAGCAATAGCTGCCTCATCTCTGTATTTTACAGCATCCCAAACTCTAGATTACGATGCTGTATGTAACATGCTGGGATTTTCAACATGTCTGTCTTACCTGATTAGCTCCCATGGCCTCTTCAGATAAGCATGCATCTATGGCGGTTGCCTTGTCTGTCATCACCCTCCCAGCACTGCTCAATGTGTGTTATTTGGACAACTAACGCATGTGGTGGACACTGGGAGTAAATATGACTACTGACACAGTTACCCAAAGGCTCCTGAATCTCTGTTAATTTGCCCACACTGTCTACTCATGATCAATTTATTCTTTTAGTTATTGGTTACTGTCTCTCTGAATCACATGCATGCCTCCTTGTAACTTCTGTCTGATAATAATGGATGCCACAGAGAGCTGGTTCCTGAGGTCACAGAAAATGTTGATTATCATGCGGGTTGTTGTTGTTTTCAGAACAGGTCAGAAGGCAGGCAGAGAAAAAGGAGTGAGTGGTTGGGGTTCTGTTGTTTGAAGTTGCACAGCCAATCGGAGGCAGAGTAAAAATGACCGAACAAAAAGCTACGGGATTGAGTACTGAGCCATAACTAAACTTACCAACAGTTTATTTATGCTAGAAAGCTTAATACATGTTAGTTGAAGATAAGTCTTACTGTACCATATCAGTGTTTCCCTTGTAGTGTACATTTCTCTCTCAAGGAAAACATTAAAAACAAGCATGTGACACGACTCATTAATATTGAGCTTTTTAATGTCGACTTCACCTGTGTTCCCACCCATTTCACCGGCTGTAAAGTGACCATGAGCTTTTCAAGTCCTAGGGATGCTGAAGATTCTGAGGGCCTTTAGTGAGGCCATCCCTCTCCACTTGGTCTGTGAGGTAAATAGTAGCTGTGAGCACCTGCACTGTGAACGGCATGAATTCTGTTTCCCATGCAACATGTGTGTGGCTGGTGCACTTTTTACCTATCTCCTACCCACCAATTACACAAAACAGCATTCACATTGAGCTGCTTAGAACGACCCCATCTGTATGTGGCCTTATCAGTCACAGTGAGGATAAATTATAGGGACCAAAATGTCTCCTGGGCCCAGGAAATTCTCAAACATGCATCCCTCCTAGAAGGAAGACTGCCACTGACAATTGCTTGGGAGAACGAAGGCGAGGAGATTATAAATCCGGAAGAGAGCTAGCTAGGAGGTGTAATCTGAAATCTGTCAACTTTGCTTCACTCAAGTTCCAGCAACTTACAAAAAGAAGAGCCCGCACACTATATTAACAGGTGAGATAGCTCAGTGTACCCCTGTGCGCTGCTTAGGCCAGAGCAGAGAAGGCATCTCAGCCAGGGGGATGTGTTCAAGAAAACTGAAGGGCGGGAAGAGCAAGTCTTAGACTCAGGTCCTGTCTGGCAAAAACCCCATCCTTTCTAGGGCGGGTTGACTTTGCTTCCTTCTTTCCCTCCACGAGGCTTATAATTAAATGTTACAAAGTGTACCAAGAATAAATCTACCCGGGTCCCCTTCCCCCAACCAAAAAAGGTTAAGCTTTTAATTACAGGCCCTCAAACTATCATTTTGTGCAATTAGCAATTAACTATAATCGTTGATGAGAGAATGCAGAGCTGGGCTGGCAATTTCCCTCCTCCCCATCTCAGACTCGGTTATTTTAGTCTTGTTCTATTACAGAGGAAAAGCCACAACCACGGAGCTCTCTTGTTCTCTCTCTCTCTCTCTCTCTCTCTCTCTCTCTCTCTCTCTCTCTCTCTCTCTCTCTCTCTCACACACACACACACACACACACACACACACACACACACACACACACTCACACACACACTCATACTTAAAGAGACACTTAATTTTTAACAAAATGGCATCTCAGTTTGCCATTGAGACGGGACCCCGAACCCCACAGCAGAGCAGCGGAGCATTCGCACCCCTCTTCATCACTTTCAGGTTGGAAAGAAGAGTCCCCAGGAAGATGCTACCGACCTACCGACCTCACAATTCCAGCCCTTCCTAGGGGCTCAGGAGAGGAAGGTAGAGAGTTCCTTGCCGCCCCCAGACCCCTCAACTGTCAGCCCCATCGTCCCGGAGGTGGTGGCAACAGCAGCAATAGTTGCATCAGCGCCCTCGGCCCCGGCGCCAGGAGGGTACAGTAGCGACTGTAGGGAGCTAGGGAGCGCACAGCTGCTGCGGCCGCAGGTTCCCTGGATCAGGAAATTAGGACAGGCACCCGGGATTGGAGGTGAGGACGGTGCGCGAGCCAACCAGCGGCCGCCCCGGGTCCCCCGTGAGCCCCGGGCCGACGCGCGAAGCAGCCGGGCCCCTGGAGCCGTCCGGATGGCGGCTGCAACAGCCTCAACCACTGCCACTCACGCACGCACGCTGCCACTTGCCCCCGCACCCTCCGCACCGCACGCGGGAGAGCGGCGCGTGCAGGAGCTGCTGGGCTGAGCTCCCCCGCTGGGGTCCCCGCGCGGCTCGACCGCGCTCTTGCCGCCACCCGAGTGGGTGCCCCCGACCGTTCGCCTCGGCTGTCCCTGGCGAACCGGCTCCCCGCCCCCTCCTCCCGCGCCGTCCCCTCCCCTCTCCCTCCCCTCCCTCTGCAACGCCTGCATTATTTTCCGCCCGCAGGGTCCGCGCGCACACCGCGGCCTCGGCGGGGGAGGTGACCGGGTGGGTGGCTGGGTGGGTGGCTGGCTGGCGGGGAGTAGAGCGTGCAAGTTGCAGGGAAGGGGTGCCCGCTCCTTCCGCGCTCTCCGTGCTCCCGGCTCCTCACTCCTTCCCCCCTCCTCCTCGCCTCCTCCCTCCCCGCCCCCACCTCCTTCCTCCTCTCCGAAGGGCTGGTAACTTGTTGTGCGGAGCGAACGGCGACAACGACGGCGGCGGCGGCGGCACCATCCGGGCGGGCAGCATGGGCACGTCCGCGCGCTGGGCGCTGTGGCTGCTGCTCGCGTTGTGCTGGGCGCCCCGGGACAGCGGCGCCAATGCAAGCGGTGAGTGGGGACGCGCCCCTCCGCACTCGGCCCGTAACAAGCCGGGGCGCCCGCGATCGCTGCGTTTTGGGGGGCCTTGGGGCTCCTCTTGCCCACCCCCTCCTAGGAGGCGCCTCTCCGCGCTCCTCTCCTGCCTCCCCTCCCCGCCCGGGTGGCGCCTCTGAGCTGTCAGAGCCGAGGCTACTGGGAGCTGGGCCCGGGGGACGGTGGGGTTTAGGGTGTCCTAAAGCGTTCCTTGAACTTGTTGTCATTCCCCTGTGTCCCCTTTCTTCCCAGAACCTCTGTTTTATATGGTTTTCATCCCTCTTGACAAGGGCTTGGGGATGTGGGCTTTGGAGCTGAACTGAACAATGGTTCTGCCTCCTCTGCCAGGCGGGCTGTTAGGACCGTGGCAGAGCACCGGGCCTGGAAGCCCGGGTGCACCCCTCAGACTTGAGCAGGCTTGAGAGCGCACCCTGGGTGAAGGTGGGCGTCTCCGAGGACACCGGGCGCCAGGTGCCGGTCGGACAGGGAGTCCTCGCGCAGCCGTGAGCAGGCGCACGTTCGGTGGGCGGCAGCCTGGAGGCCGAGCCATGACAAGTGCGCAGCCTGCGCACCGGGACTGCGACTCCCCAGGCGCCCGGCCGTCTCTCCGGCCCCAAGTGTGGCTTTCAACCGGACTGTCCTCCGAGTGCTTGTCTCCCTCCCCCCGGGATTCCGCCGCTACTGCAGCGTTCGTACACCTCCACGTCTCTGAGATAACTGAACGGGGGAGGGGAGTGGGACCCAGACTTATCAGGTTACTTTGCTGAGCCTCGTTCTGGGTGACACTTCCCCCCAAAGAAACTGAGTCCCAATGTAGTGACTGCAACTAGCCCTTTATTTCACACAATAGATCGAAGGTGTAGTGCTAGAACTGGGGTGTGACTGTAGCTTGGGGAGGGCGGGGGTTACTGTCGTGAGCCCCCTAGGGTCAGCGCACTGGCTTGGGATCCCTGTGTGTTTTCAGTCCCCCATCTTGGGTCACACAACTTTCCAGAGCAGGCGATAAGACGCCTCCCTAACAAGGTCCGGTTTGATCCTTGGCAGGCCACTGAAGAGGTCTTAGAGGTCTTAAGAGGTGACACCAAAGAGCTTGCTTGCCAACCAGCCCTCGGTAATTAGGGCAGAATGCTGTCCCAGCTCTTAAGAGTCCACAATGCCCATCTCCTGTCGCCGGGTAGCTTAGAAGGCCCGCCTGCGTGCGATCACGTGTGTCCTGGAGTGAGAGCGAACTTTCAAGTGTGTGGTCAAGCAGTCTGTCGACCTATGCTGGGGCGTTGAAGTCTCCCAGCGCCCCTGAGCCTTTGGTTCCGCTGTCCCGAGCGTGAGAAGCTGGGCAGGGCTTTTCTGCCCCATGCGATTGGCTGGTAACTGGATTGCGTTTAGGTTGGTCACGTGTTTTCGCGGACTTAATTGAGCTGCCCCAGCTGGGTTACCTTTAAGATCAGCCAGGCTCAGAGGGACTGTGCCTTCTGGTGCTTTCTCCTGCTGCACTCTGAAAAGTCCATGTGTAGTGACGCTAGAATACTGTGTGTGGCAAGCCTACGAGCCCAGAGAAGCCCTGCTTCACAGAAATTCTCAGACGCTGACATTAATCATTAATGGATGAGTAATGCTAACTTATTAAACCATCCCTCAGAGTGACTTGACTTGCGTTATATATTTTGTAATAGTTCAAAACACGAATGTGTATGAAATCCATTATTGACTGTGATCCAGGGAGGTGGGAGAAAAGAGTCCTAGCTGCAGGTCCTTTTGTATTCTGGGAATTTTTTAACGTGCTAACTTTCCATTAGGTGCTGTTTTTTAATGGGGTGCTAAGAAAGCACCCAGGCTGCTGCACTGAGCTAGTCCAAAGTCAGAAGCTGTTCAGTTGGGATCCATAAAGTGAGGATATCCTTTGCCCCTCTTTTACTGCAAGTGGAATATGATGGTGCTGGAAAAAGTGGAAGAGAGAACCTGGCATAAACCTAAATCATCAGAGTGGGGGAAGCCATTCTTTCTGAACTGCCCAAACCTGGAATTGGTTGAAGCAGGTATTGACCCTAAGCCAACCCATTCCGTCCGTGTCTTAAGTTCAAAGTACCAAGACATGTGGACTGATTTTCTGGCCCTGGTCTTCTATGCTCAATCTTTCTGTCTAGCCCTTCCCCTTGTCCCCCAGTACACATGCACACTCAGAGGCTGCTCCAAACTACCCGATACAGAGCAGGCAGGTGTGCACCAATTTCCTGTAAGGAATTTAAGTGAGGCTAACAAGAGGTGTTACAAGGGCTGATGGCAAAATACGTGGGGTCTCTGGGACTCTTTCCTCCAGCCTAGGTATAGATTAAGATGTGAGATGCTGTGTAGTCTTCAAAGCCAGAGTTCTGCGAGAGATCTTCCACTATGACCAAAGACTCTTACTTCTCCTGCTCGGGGAGTGAATGATGTGTACCTGCAGGCAGGAATCTGGAAAACCAGGAGAAATGATATCTGGCTTACCGAAGCACCAAGAGAAGGGAGAGACCAGAGCAATCTCATCTACATCCAAGAAAGGCCCCGTAGACTAGACGAGGGCTTTCTTTTTTAAAGAGGGTCACAGTCCAAGCTTGATGGGCAGTGCACTTCCTGAAGTCTGGAACAGGTTTTTTTTTTTTAATTTTATTTATTTATTTTTATTTTATTTTATTTTCCTAGAATCATCATCTTACCAGCAAACTCTAGTGCTGGTCCTGTATCATTTCATCACTTTATGCTTGAGTCTCCAGAGACCTACAGATTGCATATAAAGGCCAACTTCAGTAGAACTGGCACATGTTAAGACTTCAGGCGGACAAACTGATTAGCAAACCCTATACGATACTTGTAAAGGTGGCCATCTCTACCTTCCAAACAATTGCCAGCTGATCATTGTGTTTCTGCTTTCTTAAAAAATGAATAGCCATAGACAGGATTTCACTGCAGAACTTCTGTGATGCTTCTGGAGGAGCTAAAGCACTATTAGGACCCCCCTTCTGTTCCCTGAACAATGTCAAACCCATAAAACAAAAGGCTCTAGAGCACAGCCTCAAGGTCAAGAGTGCAGAGAGGACCCCAGGCACATGGCTTCAGGCTTAGATTTCCAAACCCTTCCACTTACCAAATAGCATAGAAAGAGAAAATGTATAGGAAATATTTCCTAGGCCCTCACAGAATATAAAGTTGTTCTCAGTAGAGGAAACAGGATGGAGATGGAGTAGTTCCCTTTTCAGCCTCTGGTCTTGGCCCTGATTGGCTTCACTTGACCTTGCTTTGGAAAGTCACTGGTATGTGCTAGCCTGTGAGACATTATGCACATTACAGAGCTGAAATGGGCCTGAAATGGTGTTTGTCACATATACCTGGTGAGTCTTATGGCAGACTAAGGCAGCTGCCTTTCACATGTGAGGAGATAGATTCTTCTAACTTGAAGTAATCTCAAGAGATCACCGGACCACAGGCCAGTAGACGGCTTTCGGGGAAAATAAAAGCCCTTCTTTGGAGGTTATGAGTAAAATGTACTTTTTGAACAGGAGTAATCTAAGGCCATCTTCCTCCTCGATGAGGAGGGGACAATCTGAGGACTGGTAGCTTGTTCTGAGGTCCCCAAGGCATACTATAACCCAGTTCTTGGAGAACCTGATTTTGTAAGTGAAAACTTGATCAATTTTACTTTCTGTATTTGTTTTCGATATAAATCTGTATCTCCCTGCTAAGCTCCAGTGTTGGTTTACAATCAAGGCCCTGAAAATGGTAAATTTCAACACATTAGACATGCTAACTGCAGTATAGCTAAGTGAGAAAGCAGGTGGCACCTTCAACCGGGCCCACTTGGCCTTCTTGTGGAGAACCCTGGATGATTTGGGCCTGCTAGTCATTTTTAGGTTCTAAATTAAGAGAGAATCTGCTATGTATAGTGAGAGTAAGCATAGAGATCTCCCAGAAGCGTTTCATCGTTTGTGCAGAGGGCCTTTCGCCAGCTTTGTGAGGTAGAAATGCTAAGTTTCATATGGTAGAGATGCCCTGTGGGGAGGGGAGAGAGTATGCCAGAGCTAGCATTTAAAAAGTACATTTAGGGCAAGAAACTATACCTTGGAAAGGTCAGGCACTCACTAGAGTGGCCAATCTTGCCACTAACTTTGGGCGTCTGGGTTGGCAAGGTGGCCAGTAGTCTTTGTGCGTCCAGAAATAGTATTGGCAATGGAGGTGAGGGGGGTAGGGGAATGTGCAGTTTGCCAGGGTTGATGATTGACATTTGAGAGTTCACACGTTCCTAACTTCGTACTTCCTGCACAGACTGTTATACTATACTATACTATACTATACTATACTATACTATACTAAACTATACTATAGTATACTGTGTATACTCTCGTCTATTCTCTAGACCTGCCTCTGATCTTTACTTTTCCTAGCATGCTTTCCTAAGATCTAAATTATTCATTGGCAGGGAGATTTACCAGGCAGGGTATAAATTGAAGCCAGTCCCCCTTGTACGTCTGCTCAAGACCGCTTGATGGACAATACAGAAGCCAGAGAAATGGCCTCTTTGTGCCTTTTTTTTTTTTTTTTTTTTTTTTTTTTGGTAGTAAGTCAAACCAGGAAACTCAAGATTCAAAAAGAGCTGAGTATAGAAGCTGTGAATGGAGTGAGCAGAGCTGGTGTTTCTTAATCACGAAAGCCACAGACATCAGCTGAAGATGTCTTGAGAGTTCCCACATGCTGCTTTGATTATAGCTCATAATGCTTCCCTAAAATCACCAGCAACTTAGACTTTAATATGCCAATACCAGAAGGGATCTTATCTCTGCCAATGGTCCTGTGAAGGTGATGATTCAAACCCCAGTGGGCTAGTGCCAGCCTTCCCAAGGAGCAATAGAATGTCAAAAGTGAAACTTGGGTCTGACATACCAACCTCCTCTCCTTATCAGATCTTCCATGTGTGTTAGAAACTCTCCCATGTGGAAATGTGGCTGATA